CAATAGATGATGGTTTTTGGCATGTATAACTGATTTTTCAATTTCCTTGTAAAATTTCGTTTGGAATATCTTATTATGGCGATAGAACCTACGATGCTTTTTTTGTATCGTCTTGTTCACTGTGCCATTAAATGCAGTTTCTTTTTTAATATTTGCTTGATTGGTGGAATGTCATTAAGTAATTTAATTTTATATCTTCGTTTGGTCTTCCAGCATATGCGTATTGAGACATTTGGATTTCTCGAGATCTCGTCTAGTACCGATAACTCATATTTGATTTCCTTTATTACTCGCTTCAGTTTTGCCTTCCAAGTCAACTCTTTTTTATCTGTTTTTTTTTCATTGTCTTCCCGGTAGCTGCTAAAACTGTTTCGTATATGACATTATTTACTTGAGATGTTTCCCAATGTTTTGTCCGTTAACAGTGTTTGCAGTGATGTGTTGTATATTTGAAGAATATGTTTATTGGACTTTGTCATAGGAATTTTTGGGAGCTGGTCTCTATCTGACATTTGTGTGCGAGTTAATCTGCTGAATGATTAAATGATGTGCTTTTTCGCTTCAGTGATTTCACCTGTGTTTTTTTTTTTTCAAGGAATTCTGTCCTAATGTAGTTTGAGTTATCTTCTGTGACATAATATGAATAAATGCAGTTTAATTTACCGGAAGATTCTTCAGTTTTGTTTCCTGAAATAATATTATTTCGTATCTCATTTATTTTAGTTTTTACCTCATCTTCTGTCATATTATTTATTTCCAGTCCCACCTCTTTATTGTTTGAGTGATGGGTTATTGTATTCTGCCTTATATTTAGTTTTATCTGATCTATTTACGCATTTGTGAGTCTTTTATTTCCCATGATGTCTCTACAGACATTGTTAAGCATGTTTGGGTTGGATAGTTCTCCATATTTGCGTATGTCTGTTCTGTAATGTTCTGTGTATTTTCGAGTGCGATGACAAAGGATGTCATGACTTGTTGATACTCTTCGCGAGTCTATTTCGTTGGCTTTCTTTTTAGTAATTGATTTGACGTCGAGTCACTTGGTCCAAGGTTGGAATTAGTCCGGGTTTGATGATCAGGTGTCAAATAGCTTTTAGAAGAGTTTTTCTAGTGGCAGATTTTTCGGCTTTCGATTTTTTTTATTGGTTCCTATCTGAGTGACGTGGCCCTTGTTGACCTGGGAGACGGCCGATCCGGTATCATTATTTGCTTGTAAGCACTGAAATTTGTAATTTTTTTTTTTTTTTTTTTTTTTGCTTGACCGCCAAAGGTTAAATTTTTTCAAGATGCCAGCTCTAGGACGACTGTCAACCAAGACTCTTTAGTCTTCGTCGAACACGTCCTAACCATGGTTTATATTCATATATTTATATTGTCCAGGGTTCAAAAGTTCATGATCTAGTATCGTATTCATGGAGGTAATATAGGTATATGGAAATGGTATTGACCATACTAAGTTTTAACTTAGTATAAGTCGCAATGACCGCTACAAGATGAAAGGTCAGGTGGACATTCATTAGGGGTTATCACGAAAAAAAAGAAAAAATAAGTAATCAGCCAATACGAACCTTACCCATGCGCATACATGTACACACACACACATATATATATATATATATATATATATATATATATATATATCGACAACGATACACTATGCTTAGATAAAAAGCGCAATTCAGTAACGGAAACTTCTGCTGGAAGTCTGGAAAAACTAAAAAAAATAAGGATAAAAAACTTAAAATTTAATTGAAATGAAGTCAAACAGACTTAGAAAACAATTTTTAAGAAAAGCTTACATATTGAAAAGCGAACACAGACTAGCATCGAACAAAGACTAAAATGTTCGACTTGTCGAAACCAATAAGAGTGATAATAAACTTTGTAGGGTATATCACCCCCCGGTGGTAACGGAAGGGTCACTAAGAAATGCATTAAACAATAAAAAAAGGAAAAATGCAATATGATTTTCATCTGGGGTCATTTCTCACCCTCATCATAATGCGGAACCCTAAAAAGTAAGATTCTCACACCAAAAAGTCCGTCAAAAAGGGAACATGGCCGGATTAGCACACTAAAAAAGGGAAAAAAATAGGTAATGAGCAATTGATCCCTTCAATGCGCATACACTTAAAACACACACACACACACACACACACACACACACACACACACACACACATATATATATATATATATATATATATATATATATATATATTTCGATTATAGGTACAATTTAATTTATAATTACATGAATCATTCATACAAAAAAAAAAACAAATATAGAGGTTAATGATTTAAATGGCGAGAATACATCTTCGCAAACAATTTTAATTAATATACACTAACCCCGAACCTGTATATGAATGATATGATCCCTGTTTATATCATTCATATACAGGTTCGGGGTTAGTGTATCTTATTGAAATTGTTCGAAGATGTATTCTCGCCATTTAAATCATTAACCTCTATATTTGTTTTTTTGTATGAATGATTCATGTAATTATATATATATATATATATATATATATATATATATATATATATATATACGCATATCGACAAAAATACACTGTGCATGGATAAAAAGCGCAAATCAGTTACGAAATTTACACTGGAAGTTTGGAAAAATAAAAATATAAAAAATAAGGATAAAAAAGTAAAAGTAAAGAGAAAAAAATAAAAGTTGAAATGAAATGAAACAGACTTAAAATACAATTTAAAAAACAAAAAGCTAACATATGTAAAATTATTATTATTATTTTATTTCCTTTGATTCCTGGTGTGTACACATTTCTTTCAAGGTCCCGCCCAAAGACCTAAGGTTAGAAATGGCATGGCATTATGACATTTTCCACTGATCAATTATAAAAACACACACACATATTTTACATAGATAAATCCCTTCTTAAGGTGTGGGCTGTACCCGTGAGAACAATTTTTTGTATTTTTTTAAGGCATGGGCGCCTTAAAAAAATACAAAAAATTGTTCTAAGAATCCCTTGAATGAGTCTACTAGAATCTTTTCCAACCAATCCGAGGACTCCAACTACAGCATGGATTATTATTAGTAGTAGTATTAGTATTATTATTATTATTTCCTTTGATTTCTGGTGCATACACATTTCTTTTAGTGTCCCAACCAGAAACCTAAGATTCGAAATGTCGTGATGACATTTTTCAATGGGCTACTAGGAATCCCTTCATTGAGTCTATTGGGATCTTTTCCAATCAATCCGAAGGATCCAACTATAACTGGAGTTGTTGATATATCATCATGTGCCACATTTATTATTATTATTATTATTATTATTATTATTATTATTACACTGTGTATGAAAATTTTGACTTATTGTTGTTTTCAGTCATTATATCCTAATTGCTTCTATATCTAGAACGCAATGTAAATGACTTTTATTCCCTTCAGATTTTGCTTTTGTGATTTGGACATCGATGTTATAAAACTAACCTAATTTCCAGAAAGATTCAGCGCTGAGTTGCTGAAGACGAAATTTCTAGAACGTTCTAGAAGTTTCAAGAACATTCTAGAAGTTTCTAAAACTTTTAAGAACGTTCTGGCAACATAGATGGCAGTATAAATACAGGGAACGTAAGCGCAACAGTTCAGTTTACTTTTTGTTGTTCAAATGCAAGCAAGTCGTCATTGATAGATTCATTCGTCACAGATAGCATCAAAGGGCTGTATGCATCCGGCAGACGCATTTTTTCTATGACTGTGGCGAGTTTATCAAGATAAGAGCGAAAAAGTACTTTGTGGCAACATCAACTAAGATGTGTGAAGCCTTGCAAGGCATATTTCGGCTTGCCTGTCAGGGAACAATCCCTGGGCACCTCATTTCACCTGTGAACTCTGCAAATGAACTCTAGAAGGTAAGATGGGAAAATTTGCTTGTTTTTATAGTGGAATTTTTAAGTAAAAGTTTTGGATATTTTTTTATTAAAATTTTTAAAATATTAAAAATTAAAGTAAAATATATTTAAATATATATTTTAGTTTCATTTATTGATACCAGTGTTATTGATAAATATGTATTAAATATGTTTCAACAATCGCATTGATGTTTTCTATACTGAATCACCGGCAAGAACCATAAAAATCCGGATTATTAGGGATTTTTAATATTCAAGATTCCGTATTTTTGTGGCATTTGCTCCATTAATTGGGGTCCATAGTCGGAATTTTACATATACAATATACGGTTTTTTAAAAATTTCAAAAATCAAAAATGTAATTTACAATTTTTCAATAACACTGAGTGAAATATATTGTTTTTATTCTCATATTTTTATTTTGCTCTTTTGCAGTTTAGTACAGAGGGAAGAATAGAGTCATGAAATTCGTAATGCCACGAATTTAAATATTAAAACTATAAATACAAATATTCAAAACTATACCTATAGATTTGGTATATTATGGGTAAGAGTGCTCAATATCAGTGATAGAGCGTATGTAAACATAAAATATATGTTATTTACCATCGCCCGAAGAGCATTATAGTTCCGAAACATGAAAGTTTTTGTGTAGCGATGTAAAAGTTTTTTATTGTAATCTATTATAGTAAAAATATTTTAATAATATTATATTTTGCTCTACGTTTGTATTGAGCACTTTTTAAAAAGTAAATGCTAAGAAATGTGGATTCTAACTCCATCTGTTCTGTCTCTTTCTTAATATATATATATATATATATATAGAGAGAGAGAGAGAGAGAGAGATAGATAGATAGATAGATAGATAGATAGATAGATATTATTGGTTCTATTTCCTTTCTTTCTTGAATCATCCTGGATTTTAATTTATTTGTTTATTATTTCTATTAAAGAACTTGATAAAGATGCTTCTACCTATTATATAATAGAGGCATTTGGGATTTGCACTACAGCATGAGAGTTGGCGATAAATGCAAAAAGTAATAAAGAACAACATTCAAAATGCTGGCTTTTACCAGGGTTCGAACACGGACACACAAAAGTCAAATAAGAGACAAGCTCAGTCGGTTAACAGATAATAAAGACGTTTCTGATGAAGCCAATAATGCCAGTAGTGAACTTGTTTTATCAGGGAGATGGGTGCCGGCGCGTCTAATGAAGAAACTGGATATTGGAAAGCAGAAAACGAGAAAGAACTGAGAAAAATATACCATCATCTCAACATCTTGCTCACACCTGTTCTGCACGCGCGGACGTGCCAGTGGGGGGGGGGCGTTTGACGTGTGTGAGGTACACTGTGCGTGTGCGTGCGTGCGAGCGTGCGTGTGTGTGTGTGTATGTGTGTGCTCACGCGCCTGTGTGATTGGCAGTTGGCAGGGGGTAACAGGATCTTTATACATCTTATCCCAACTCGCATAATTTTTCACTTTCTACATTTGATGAATGTGGGTTTTTATATATATATATATATATATATATATATATATATATATATATATATATATATAGATACTTATATTTGTATATGTTCGTCTATAGTTATGCATATATTTATTTTATATAATTATGTAAATATACATGTGCATAAAAACCCACATAAAATTGTATAAATGCATATAATATATATAAATACATATGTGTATATAAAAGCATTTGTAAAAATTTCAGAGAGAGTATATCTGTAAAAGGACAATATGAATAAAGACAAAAGGAAAACTTATCTTAGCCGACGCCTTTCCTCCTCTGAGAAACTTTATCAAGACAAATGTGCCTCGATAAAGTCAGAGAATGAAATGCATCGGCTAAGATAAGTTTTCCTTTTGTCTTTATTCATATAAAAGCATATATATGTATATGTTCATATTTTTATATATATGTATGTATGTATACATATATGTTTATATGTATATATATATTTTAAGACATTGTCGGACTTTGTCCATTTCATAATGTGTGGCGTCATTTGTTTACATTTGATACGCCATGAGCAGATATGAATGCACGTGAGAGATTCATGGAAGATTGAAGTTTAAATACAGTAAATTCGACCTTACTAACGGTACTCTCCTTTGTGGCCAAATCGGTTAAAGGCATGTCAGGCTAAATGACGGTTTCCGTACAGGATACAGGTTCGAATCCTGTCGGAGGACGAATATTTTCTGTGAAGATTTCTCGAACATTCAGGCCGGTAAATGTTGTTTAATACTGTTTGTTATAAACAGATCATTTACTTAAATATTTGTATCCAGAGAAAAAATGTATAAACATAAAAATGTCTTAAAATAATTGTCGGACTTTGTCCATTTCATAATATATATATATATATATAATCAAATGTTCATTTATTTGTATCTAGAGTTTCTTCAGAGATTACATCTACTCGTCAAGGAGTTTGATTTAAGGATTGAATTTATTAATAGAAATATATTTCTGAAAAGTTGTTATGTAAATTTCCTTAAAAAGGCGTTAATTTCAGACACGTACCCTTTTTTTAATTTGCTTTCTCTTTAGACGTGTTGATATGATGTAGAAAGACATGATTACCTATGATCAGAGATAAGCACTCAGGGGAGTTCAAGGCGTCATCGGTAACCAAGTTTCCCTGGGTTTAAAGCTCGGAGTAGTGTTCTACCCAGCGCGACATCTGCTGCGATCCATCCTGAATCATTTCCCTATGTTTTTGTGTGTAGGATCTAACGCTTCTGTCAGCTGCAGTCTCTATCTGGGAGCAGATCTGGAGCCCGTAGTTCTTAGCACAACGACTGGCGCTCTTTTTGAACTTTCCTACGAGAAATCTTGATGACCTGGAGGTTCTTTTCACTCTGATCGGCCTTATATGCAACTAAGGTGTGTCTCTTCCCTTCGATGGCGTGTCATATTTGCTGAGTGAGCTTTAAACCAGTCTGTTGAGTCCAATGGTCTTCTAGCTAAAAATGGCAATATCTGCTTTGGAAATGGTATTCACGTGCTGGGATTTATTTTTTACGAAGCGCACAAATTCCTCTGTTTTCTCATAATTGTTTGTCTTGCTGTGTCAAATCGAGGTCTGCTTTCCTCTTTTTTGCGTGGTGCAACTTCTTAGCTCGTTATTTCATGCTGCTGCAGACCGGTGAATTAATCGGTCTCACAATCTGCACCATGGGGCTGCGTGTAAGCCTATCTCTGTGTAAACTAAAGCACCTGGTGAGAATCAGGTCAAAATGGTGCTGATTAGTCTCGTCGAGAAATGGAGTTGCAGAGATAGGATACATTTATCTCTCTCTGTAGTTGGAATGATGGATCCCAGCAAGCTATTTCTGGCAGCGAGTCCTACTTTGCATTCTTTAGTCTCCTCTGGTGATTTCCATCGCCAGAAAAATGAGAAGTTTCTGTTTCACACGGATTCTAATTCAGGAAGTCTGGTTCATCTGTAGTCTGCTCAGTTCCATTATGACTGCCATCTAGCGAGCGTTGTTCACATCATGTGGATTGCTGGTGAAGCCAGATGCCAGTAGTTTCAGTTGCGTGATGCGCAGTTCTCAATCCGATTTTCGTTTTTAACCCATAGCCTCACACATCCTTTGAGGTTAACGAACTCTAGTTGGAATTTACCCGGTTTGAATCGGGCGTTTAAATCTTCAGTGAGATACGATTGCTTTCACTCATTTTCAGAAGCAGCACCTGGTAACCAGCTCTACACCAATTAAATATTAGACTTATAACTGATAGACTGCTGCTTCCCATCTATCCAGTGCACAAGGCCTTTCTTCCACACTCTTCATCGATGAAATTGTCCGGTGAAAAGAAAAAATCAAACGAGGTATATTTTCAGAACTCCAAAATAAATGAAAAATTAAGAAGTCTTTAAATAATTGCCAGCAAATTCTGTTTATTTTTTGTTCAGCATACATTTGTGGACAGTCATTTTCCTATATGAATATTAAGAAAATAAAAAAAATGGTCTCAACTAAGGAATCTAAGATTAGTCTTACAACGGTAATGATTGATCTCAAAATTATGATATCTGAAACAAAATAAATGAGATCAGTAGTCCAAACAATTCTTACAACGGTAATGATTGATCTCAAAATTATGATATCTGAAACAAAATAAATGAGAGATCAGTATCCAAACAATTTTCATAACGGTAATGATTGATCTCAAAATTATGATATCTGAAACAAAATAAATGAGATCAGTGTCCAAACAATTTTACAGCGGTAATGATTGATCTCAAAATTATGATATCTGAAACAAAATAAATGAGATCAGTAGTCCAAACAATTCTTACAACGGTAATGATTGATCTCAAAATTATGATATCTGAAACAAAATAAATGAGAGATCAGTAGTCCACAACGGTAATGATTGATCTCAAAATTATGATATCTGAAACAAAATAAATGAGATCAGTAGTCCAAACAATTTTACAGTGGTAATGATTGATCTCAAAATTATGATATCTGAAACAAAATAAATGAGATCAGTAGTCAAACAATTCTTACAACGGTAATGATTGATCTCAAAATTATGATATCTGAAACAAAATAAATGAGAGATCAGTAGTCCAAACAATTCTTACAACGGTAATGATTGATCTCAAAATTATGATATCTGAAACAAAATAAATGAGATCAGTAGTCCAAACAATTTTGGTAACGGTAATGATTGATCTCAAAATTATGATATTCTGAAACAAAATAAATGAGATCAGTAGTCCAAACAATTTCATAAACGGTAATGATTGATCTCAAAATTATGATATCTGAAACAAAAAATAAATGAGAGATCAGTAGTCCAAACAATTCTTACAACGGTAATGATTGATCTCAAAATTATGATATCTGAAACAAAATAAATGAGATCAGTAGTCCAAACAATTCTTACAACGGTAATGATTGATCTCAAAATTATGATATCTGAAACAAAATAAATGAGATCAGTAGTCCAAACAATTCTTACAACGGTAATGATTGATCTCAAAATTATGATATCTGAAACAAAATAAATGAGAGATCAGTAGTCCAAACAATTCTTACAACGGTAATGATTGATCTCAAAATTATGATATCTGAAACAAAATAAATGAGATCAGTAGTCCAAACAATTCTTACAGCGGTAATGATTGATCTCAAAATTATGATATCTGAAACAAAATAAATGAGATCAGTAGTCCAAACAATTCTTACAACGGTAATGATTGATCTCAAAATTATGATATCTGAAACAAAATAAATGAGATCAGTAGTCCAAACAATTCTTACAACGGTAATGATTGATCTCAAAATTAATGAAGATTTATTATTTTAAAAAATGAGACGGGCCATTCTTGGAATTATAATGCGTCATCTCGAAATTATAGAATTTACACAGGGATCTAGTTTGATTTTTGTTTTTATAACTTTAATTAGCATTGGTTCATAATGGCAAAAATTTGGTCAATTAGAAAAGCGTGCGGAATCACGCCAATTCAGTTCTGTCACATTTAAGCCTGATAAATAAATGAGTGTCCAATCTAATGTATCCTCACACCCAGCAGCCTTGATGTGACCATCGATGCGTTTGCGGGTCAAGTGTCAAGTATCACTTACAAAGTCGTTAGTTTCGCTTATTTAACGAATAGACGATGAAGACTTATCGTTTCATCGAGCGTCGGAAAATGTATTAAGAAGGATTTTGGAAGCTGCTTACCTGGGTTAGGGTCGGGTTGATGTTTGCTTTTAGCAAAGCTAGAAAAAATAAAGACGAAAAAATGACGAATACAAACAAACGGAAAACAGATAGATAGATAGATAGATAGATAGATAGATAGATAGATAGATAGATAATGAACTAAAATAGGGAGATAAACTTATAGACTTTGTATTAGGCTTAAGCAAAGTTTTATCGAACATACATGTTTACATATTTTAGTTCTAGATAGATAGACGGGAAATTATCAATTTTGCATAGTTAACATACACAGACACACACATACACACGCACACACACATATACATAGATTTTTACAGTAAGGTTCACTCTGTACAAGGCCCAGGAGCCGTTCATGGTAGCAGGTTACGTTTAGAGGCAGTTTAAAAGGATAGGAAGGGGAGATAACGGTTAATCCTAGACTTAAATAGGTTAATATTATATTGACCAGGGAAACAACCTCTTGGGTGTTGGTTTCACAGGTTAGTGGTTCGCGAGGAGAAGCTGTTCGGGTGGAACTGACTTTTCACCGATGGAATACGGAAGGAATGTGTGTGGGGTGTGCTACAAACAACTGGCTTGACGGATCCTAGCCGTTAAGGTTAGATCAAGCGAAACCAAGGAATATAGTTCGTCCGAGCACTTTCCATGGTAGTAGTAATAGAGCAGCAAGAGGCTTGCCATATCCTGCGTGTGACAGAGAAGTTGGAGGGTGGGAAATAATTCGTCACTCACGAGGACCTGCAGAGACTTTTGAACTCTATCGAGACTGAAAAGTGACGACTGGTCGGTCAGCTCCCGCCCAAATATGACAACAGGACTCCATTTTCGGTCTGATCAGATTCTTATATACATATACTAGCAGTAGAGCCCGGTGTTGCCCGGGGATGTAACAGTAAGAGATAGATCAAGTATCGACCATCATAAAGACTGAAAAATAAAATTGACAAAGATTATTGTTTAAGGTTGACGGACACGCATGTCTTAATTAGTCTTTTTTCTTTTTTTTTTACGAATTGGTCAAATCCAAACTCAAACAAAAACATTGTTTACAATCGTTATGAGTCTATCGATTGATGAATAGAATTTTATTATAAACAATTGTCTTGTAAATGGAATTTTTAAAGCATTCTGAATGTAAAAATAAAGAAAAAAAATGTGCAAGACAATAAGAAACATTACATGCCAAAAAAAAATTTTCAAAAAAAGTTTTGTTGAAATCGGTTGAAAAATATAGGTAGCTTTCTGTAATCTTTTAGTTTTACAATTTATGATTTTTACTTATTGAATACAGTAAAAAAATTGCATATTTTGCTTGTGGTGATTCATAATTAGAATTCTGATTTGAATATATTTTCCACTCGTTGTTTCTAATACAAAAAATATTAACTTTATTTGGGTTTATTAATTTATTACAAGTACTGTGTTCTTTCCTTAATAATTATCATCTTCGAAATATTGTTGTTTTTTGTCTATCAGATTTCTTACGTCGGCATTTTTAAATTATTTCTTAATACTTTCTTTTAAATATTGAATTAATTTAAAATAGAACCAATGCCTTATTTATCTGCCTTGTAACAAATTGCAAAGGGAATTGTAAAAACGGCCCTAAAGTACGTGGAATTATCTTTCCCTAAAGATAAAGAATTATCCGATTTTTCGATTCGTACAATCAGTAGAGATCGTTAGATTATTGTTTAGGTTGACGGACACGCATGTCTTAGTTGGTTTTTTTTTTTTTTTTTTTTTTTTGTTTTTTTTACGAATTGGTCAAACCCAAACTCAAACAAAAACATTGTTTTCAATCGTTATGATGAGTCCCCCGATTGAATAGAATTAGAATTTTATTATAAACAATTGTCTTGTAAATGGAATTTTTAAAGCATTCTGAATGTATAAATAAAGAAAAAAGTGTGCAAGACTATAAGAAACACTAGCTGCCAAAAAAAAAATTGGATGTTTATTTTATCGGCTGAAAAATATAAGAAATCCGATCCCATATATAAAGGAACACACACACACAAACAACCTGGGTTTTTTTTTAACCCGATGTGAGTTGTCCCCCTTTCATTCTCACGATGTGTCTTAATCGTGTTTTCAAATTGATTTTGTTAAAAAAAAACAATTGTGTTTTTCCCATTTTCGGCGCGGTTAGCACCACCACAAGGTAATTTTATGTAGTCCTGTGAAGTTTTGTTGAAATCGGCTAAAAAATGTAGGAAATCCGATCCAATACATAAACGTTACACACACACACACACAATCTGCGTTTTATAATAAGTAGGATACATATATGTATATATAAGCACACACACACGCACGCACAGATATATATATATATATATATATATATATATATATATATATATATATATATATATATATATATATATATATATATATATGTAAGCAAATATATGGATATAAATCCGACAGTATGAAGAAAAATATATACGGAAAAAACAAACAAAAATCCTTATATACAATTATGCTGTTTTAATGTTAATATGTCAACGTCGGATGTTTCGGTCTAATAAACCATCTTCAAGACAAATTCATAAATTATAACATTATCAATAGAACATGACAAAGACGATGTACATAAGAACAAGACTTATCCAAACAAATAACTGAAAGTTTTATAAGATCAGCGCTCCGTTTAAAACATGGTCACGTTGTTTTCACAGCGTCGCCCAAGAAGTTTGAGAGACGAAACGGATAACATAGAACTTATGGCTACATCTAGCAATTTTGCATTTAAAACGAAGATACATTGTATCTAATCTAGTACTGCCTTTAAATTCATAAAGTCAAGACGAGGCACGTTGGAGTAATGGATAGCGGCTCGGATTGAGGAATCTGAGTTCGAATTCCAGTCGAATCCATTGCATTCACTTACGTGCTAACACTCTTGGAAAAGGTATGAATCTTCTTCTCCACCTCCCTACCAGTAAATATCAGGACAGACCGGATGGCATCTGGGATACTGCAGAAAAAAAAATCTGTCGATACATGAGTGATACACACTTAGGCGTGATACACGCTCAGGCGATCCTGTATCTATCGACACATGATCGCCTAAGTGTGTATCACGCATGGCACATAACTGACTGATATATATTGATTGGAGGTCGATTTTTATTCATATTTATTGATTCCGACGAATGTAGAAAAAATGTGTGACACGTTTTTACTTCAAATAACATTTTTGTCTTAATTAAAGCTTAGAAACTTTTAAAATAAGAATTCTGATATCATTAAAATTTTAAGTTCATTTCCAGGATTCGATGAGAGCACGACTACAATCCGATTTCAAGTTAGCAGCTTTATTTGACGGAATGTTTTACACGATGAATTAACAGACTAGTATGCTCACTTCGCTTCTTATACTCGTAACGTTTCGGCCGGCATACCCCCGTCCTTTTTCAGGCGTGTTCCTTTGAACTCGATACCTTCCAGGAATTTCAAATCTGGAAATTTAAAATTAATGCCCATATTCAGGTGATTCAGGCCTCCAAAATGTCATAAATAGATTCTCCAAGAGACTTAATGGATTCAAGCGTTGTTTAAGTTCAAACCCTGGGTTTGGTAGCGTTATAATCTTATATACTTTGGATCAATGATTTAAAATAATCTGCGCAACTCGAAGCTGAATAAGAATTGCTGCGTACTGATACGAGTTATCTCCCCTAAGTATGGAAAGTGGAATGATAACAATCAACCACAAGGATTAAATAAATGTTCAGTTCGAAATTCCGAGAAGGTTGCCACATAGGAAGATAGACTTTGAAGACTGAAAGTTTCAATCACTGAAACGCTACGATTAAAACAACAAAGCATATAGCGTCCGTAATATTAACTAAAATTAAACAGCTAATACCCAAGCCAACTTCGATTTTCATTCAATAACCAGAGAATTAAATTAATAATATTTACATGGTTGTTTACTTGTTCGATCTCATTTCACGATGATCTTTTTTACGAACCAAGTACTTCTATGACGTACATGATCATGACTCTCCACAGCTTCCTGTATTTTGTTGCTTTAAGTAATATTTTACACTTTGCCATCTATTCGCTGAAACTCGTCAAATGGATAACTTGCTATTTTAAGATACTTTTCTTGTCTTCAATTTGTCCTGTGTCTGTTAAATTCTCGAGACTCGCTTTTCTCATTAATCGTCACAGAAATTTCAACTCTCTCTCTCTCTCTCTCTCTCTCTCTCTCTCTCTCTCTCTCTCTCTCATTGTAAGCATATTTTCCTTCAGACTACCTTCTTGGCTCACATACTCTCTTCATTAGTATATTTAGCATTCGTCGTTTAAAACTGTATCTCTGTTCTGTTGCCTCACAATGATATACGATAGAAATAAAAGTCAAATTTTAATTACTGCGAAATTCCAGTTCTCTGTACGTTTACGATAAAAAAAAAAGTAATCTTCATCAGTTTGTGTTCCTTTCCTTCCTCGATTGGGGTGTATTTTCAATAATGTTTTCTTGCACTGTGTGACTTACACATATCGTTTGCATTTTTTGTATAAAACTCAGAAGTAAAAGTTTTTTTTCTACTGCCCAGATGACTACTGAATTCATCATTATTCCGAGTCCACTAAGGTCGAAAAAGATTGATTGAGGGATTTGTTTGTTTAACGGCATATCAACACCTTATGGGTCATTTAATGCCGAAATTTAATTTTCTTGGGAACTTGGAAGTAATAAAAATGTATGTTATTCTGCTTTCACAATTGAACTCATGGTAGATAATACTCAGCTTTTGTGCATATGCCTGTTTGTATGGACATAATTACTAGATGTGGTATTATGTATGTTTTATGTTGAGGTTTTGTTGAATTTATATTTTGGAATACCATTTGATTTCTTTAAAAATTTTGTATATTATATGAATTAATGTCATAAAAGTTCTATCATGTTGGCTGATTTCGTTTCGCGATATATCTGCCTCTAGGGGTTATATTATGCCGAAATTTAAATATTTTGAACAATTTTATGGCTTCAACTAAATATATTTTGCATGCAATTGTATGCCTTCAACTACAGATAAAATGTATTTTCCATTTTGCTATAAATTCTATTGCTGCCCATTTTACTATAAAAATGAATCTTTATACTTTCATAGTCTTTTGTTTTTGTTTAGGGATTCACTATTTGCCCATAGTTGGGACCCTAACAGGTGCAATCACCCTGGGTCAGTGTAAACCTGGGAACAACAGCAATTAAGCGGTGGTTCCACGATCCCAATCTCCCGATCAAAAGCCTTGCTGCCGGATGTAGTTTATCGTTATACCCAGGACTAAGGTCGGAAAAGAAGCGATACCTATATATGGGCATTGGTCCAAAAAAATGGTAGAAAAACTTCCGAAAATACATGGGTTTACAGGTATATGTATCTTATAGTTGTTGAGGGCATCACAGGCACAGACATAGAGAACTCTTTTTTATATTATAAATTACATATATATAGGTACCAAAAATATAGGGACATGAATTGAACATAGATATTCCTCTGTACATATATAATTAAATCCAATGATATCGTTAAGTGTTAGTGTTCCAGCTTTAAAAAAATAACTAAATTTTGCATGCTGATTTGCACAATTACTTGCTCATCGCTTAGAAGGTTGGCTCAGCACAATCTTCCTGTACCTGATTGCTCATTCGCCACTTGGTGCTAAAATTTATAAATACCATGAATCGACTAATCTTATCCCTGCTATTAATTATCTCCCTTGTCTGGTCACAGCCGACTACAGTAAATTATAAGGCAAATATAACAAAGCAAGAAAAGTAACTTCTCACCGTCAGTCTCACAGCGCCTCCTCCAGAACCCCGGGCCCCAAAACACTTGAAGCTGGGCTACTCTATCTGGAGATGAATTGACTAAGCAAGGCAGCTCTCCTTACCTTGATTAATGTTTGAGAAAAGAAAAGAAAAACCATTGCAAATCTTTATATGTTCAGGGTAGATTGGAGCTACCGGCAGGGGTTGACAAGAATTGCAGACGTCCTTTGATCTAATTTATTTCGAATGATTTAAAACTTTCGATGAAATAAAAGCTAGTACGAGGTGATCAGAACTGGGTTGGGGGAGGGGGCATGTCAAGCAGAAAAACTAGGGGAAAATGGGTGGAACTGGGTGGGCGTTGTTCGGGTGAGGAAACGGGTGACATAAGTTTGTTATAGGTGTGCCTCTGTTCAAGAATATAAATTTACTTTATATTTGGATAGATAGATAGATAGATAGATAGATAGATAGATAGATAGATAATTAACAAGCGGTGCTAGATATGAAAAAACGGAACAGGCCAAAAAAGAATAGACAAATATCTATGAAATGACAAAGAAAGAAAGAAAGAAAGAAAATATAAAAAATACAGGGTGCAGCAGAAATACCTTCCACAGGTACCTCCCGTAAATACCTCCCACATAATGTTAAGACATTAGATTGATGAAGACACCATAGCCACTAACGTCTTACCATTATATGGGGGCACCTCGAGGTGGTGCAATATCAAGCTTTTCTCGCAAGATCAATTACTACTGGATGCTCCATACTTTCTGCCTTGTGCCACCTCTAAGCTATGCTTAGAAAATTACCTTACCATTATGTGGGAAGTATTTCTGGAAGGTAGATGGAGGTATTTCTACCGCACCCTGTATAACATCAAGGTCTTTAATTAAATGTGTTGGATTTCGAAATTTGCGTCAACTGGTAGTATTTGAAACAAGAGGCAAAAACCAATGGGGATTTAGAAGCTATGATCAAAGAATCATGTACACAAGAGAAGATAAGAATGAAAGATGAGTTGGACTAGTATTAGATAAAGTTAAGGGGATGTGCGTTTATGGAGGACTGACAACCGCTATATAGAATCAGATTATGTGAAAATTTTTCGAAAATCATTTATTCGAATTGTAAATTATTTGAATGAAACTTAATCGAAAGGCCAATCATGCTAAATGATAATTATTCGAAATTCAGAATTCTTTATTGGAATAAAAATGTAAAAATTAAAAGAGGAAATGCACAGATGATAATTATTCGAAATACATATTACGTTAATAAATCAATTTAGTTAGAAAAAATCCTTATAACCGAAGTTATATGATATTTCATGCAAATAGTCATCTACTGAAGAGTATCCGTTAAAGAATGCTATTAAATTTTTAAGTTTTCCATTTACGTCGCGGTATTTCTAGGTGCTCTTGATCTTTTGGCAACCTGCTCTTACTTTTGCAATATGAATTTCTTGGATGTCCTGTTCTCTTTTAAGAGCGTCTAAGAATTTCCATATTGTGGGATGATGGTATGACACGTGCTGCAAAAAAGTCCTCTGCCATCCTTCAAGAGCGTTATTAGTTCCAAGTAAATCAGCATTGACTCTCTCAAAGCAAGACTACATATGTATTTCAAATACATTATTATTATTTAATATAAGTGGCCTTTAGGCTAATTTTCATTCAATTCGAATAAATATTTTGCGAATAATTATTTTCGAACAATTTTCTCGATACGTAGAATCATTTTGTTGAAACCTGAAAAGGAAGTTATTCAATAAAACAATCATAGTGCTATACGCACCCACGTTAAAATGTTCCGACGAAGAAATAAATGAGTTTGACAACGTACTAAAAAATGGCAAATCTCGGAGTAAATCACAAAAACAATACCAGTATCATGAGGGATATTAATGCAAAAATAGAAAGTTAGTTATGTATAGACATGGATCACGTAACGGGCGTAAAGAAAACGTGTTCATTGGTGCACAACGAACAGCCAAGTAACAACCAACGCTTAGTTTGATGAACACCCAAGACGCTCATGAACTCGTGGCCTTTGAAATACCCGACAGGAGATATGGCAAACCAGACAGACTTCTTAGCAATCAACAAACTATTTAAAATCGCAGTTTTGCACGCAAATGAATAACCAAGCGCTGAGTGCGGAGTGATCCCTTTCTAGTCATCAGAAACTAAGAGTAAAATTACAAAAATTAAGGAAGCCTAAAGACTAAACTACATTACAATACAATACGCACCAATTCCATTTGGAAACAAACATATTCAGCCAATGGACTCGCCAAGAACATCATCTCGTAGATTAAAGCTTTAGTTAAAACATATCTTTGTCAGGTGCGGAGAGAATTAATTGATATGTCCTATACATGAAAAACTGAGAGAGTAATCTATTCTTGTTTATTGAATATAGGCTATGGTTTATTTTTTTTAATCGTTTCACCCAAAGCAAAGCAATAAAGCCACTAAGACGTAATAATAAGTGTGAAATATTTGTCTAGATTTCTGAAATGAGGTATTGTAATTATTTACACTATTTACAATGTTCGGCCTGTTCTCGTCATCTTTACTGTCATATTCACAGTCTAGATTTCTGAGATGAAGTATTGTAACTATTTACAATGTCCGGCCTGTTGTCCTCATCTTTACTGCTATAATCACGACGTTTCGGCCGTTGTACGCTCCGGATTAATTGGAATTTCGAAACAAACTCTTTATTTAGTCCATAGGGGTAGATTATTCTAATTCCAGGTGCCATGTCATTTTTGTATATCTCATTTTCAGTTAATTCTCCTAGATAACTTCAAGGACTCATGATACAGTGACTTGACTTGACCCAAAGCGTTGTGAGCTTAATAGCTGGCCACTGCAGAGGAAGCAAAGAGTTGAGTTACTAAAGTATTAAAAGTGTATAATAATATGAGAAAAAGGAAATCATTATTAAGGAGAGAGAACAATAGAGTAACAGGAATTAAGAAGACAAAAGATAACGATTGACCTTGCACTTAAATTTTTAAAGATTAAACTTGACTGGAATGCTAGAGGCTGGAAGAGAGTTCCACAAGTTGAAAGTGCAAGAGAAGAAACTGTTAGTATAGAACTTAAAGTTACATCTAGCCATTTCAACTGTAAAAGGATGAGATCTAACTGCCAATCTAGTACTGCACTTGAATTCCTAGTCTACATTCCAAAGAAGAAAGCTCATCAGAATAATTACCATGAAAATATCAATAGAAAATACACAGGGAAGCTATGTTACAGCAGTGGCAATGTGTTTGAAAACAAGATGACAGGTCAGGACCACTAACATTGCAGATGATTCTTTGTATTTTATCAAGAATCTCTAAATACCTAGTAGAACTACAAAACCAGATATTTCAGAAATATTCTAAGCATGGAAGAATGATAAACTTATAAATGTGCAAGATAGATTCTGTTGAGAAATAATTGTCTAGTGTGACATAGTTACATTGAGCCATTTTAACTGTAAAATAATGTGATCTAGCTGCCAATATAGTACTATACTTAAATTCTTAAAGTCTAGGTACTAAAGAGGAAAGCTCATCAGAACAATTAGCATGAAAACATTTATAGAAAAGGCAAAAGTGAGCTACATTTTGATGGTGGTAAAATGACTGAAATATTTACTTTTATCTAACAAATAATAAATATTTAAAATTTATTAATAATCATTGGTAATGCTTCATCTAAAAAATGAAGATGAAAGTAAAACTAAATTGAAGGAAAAGCAAGAGAATGAAAGAGGGATAGCAGGCGAGAAGTATGTGAGAAAAAACTATTAGCATAGAATTTACAGTTACATCTAAATATTTCAGTCTGTCAGTTAAATGACATACATGATACACATTTAGGCGATGACGTCTCTTTCGATTCATTTCTGACTAGGCAAATGATTTCCTGCAACAGCTTGCCGTTTCTTTCTGTTGTAGATTGATTGCCAACAAAGGTTATATGTGCCAGTCCGTCCTGCTATTTATCCCATAGTTAGGAGGAGAAGAAATGCATTCATACCTTTCCCAAGGGTATTTGTGCGTAATTGAATGTAACGAACCCGACTGAAATTTGAACTCGGCTCTCCGATTTCTCATTCAGAGCCGATATCCATTACACCACAACACCAATCTTAAATTCGTAAAGTCGATATATCAAAGAGGAAACCTCATCAAAACAATTATCATGAAAATATTTATAGAAAAGACACTGAGAATCTACGTTACGACAGTTGGAAATTGGCTGAAGCTGAGATGTCAGGACCGATAACATTGCAGATTTTTCTCTGGATTTTCATCAAGAATCTCTAAATACACAACAAAAGCATCAGACTAGATGTGACAGCATGTGGAATGAGTAGTCACGGTCAAATGGAAAATAAATAATAGAACCGTCTAACAAACAGAATTGACAGTTTGCCATTAGCAATAACCGGAAAACGAAAAGAAAGGAACAGAGTAAGACAAATCAACAGTAATATAGCAAAAAGTTAACAAACTAAGAATAGGCGCCGATACGCAAAAGCAAGTTCGGACGAAGCATTCTGACTCCAAGACAAGACAGATCGGGACTAAGTCATATGAAACTGCGAACCGGCCTATTTTATTGGTTAGAAAAAATCCCAGCATGCATTTGTGTGCTTCTACCTATAAAAGGGGAAGGGGAAGTGTTTTGCAGTCATTCCTAATCCAGATCGAAACCAACACAGCAATATTCAATGCATAGACGAATGGTAGACTTAAAAATGTGTTGGATAGATTCCGGCGAGAGAAACTGTCTACCACAACCCAGTGAAGCAACTTTCCTAGCAGCAGACTAAGCAAATGATTCAATAAAATTTTCCACTTAATGTCAGCCGAAAACGTTAACCCGAGACGACACAATGAATCATTTTCCGTTACGTTGGCACCAGCCATGCTGATGGATGAAAAATTGTTCTCTATGAAATTAAAAGAAAGCAGTTTCGTTTAAAGTTAAATATAAATGAATTTAGTTCAAATTCTGAGTCAGTTACAGACATCTGATGAAGGCTGGAGGGTGAAACAACCGAAACGATGTGTATATACTAGTCCTAACGTAAAGATATAAATTAACCTTAATTAGTATGATTTGGGGAATTGGGAAAATGCAGCACAGTGTTAAATGGTGGAAAATATATAAACGCGGCGAAATATGGAAGGAGCTCAACACAATAAACCTCATATCACTACAAAAGAAATCAGGTGTAAATACATTCGAATTCCATTGGAAAAGCAGCTTGATAAAACACATAACTATAATGATTATAATGTTAGATATTAGAGTTCCTAACAGAATCAGACCAGAAGTAGAATAAAAACAGCGTGACTTTGTTCAAAATAATGGATCAAGAAATGTAATTTTTATTATCAGAAAGTTATCATTACGAGCCATAAGAGTGCAGAAAGATCTATACTTGCTTCATAGATTGCAAAAAACAATTCAATAAAGTGCTACACAAAGAACAACTTGAAATGTTAGGACAATTTGATCTGCACAGA